GTGAGTGAGTGACTGAGCGAGTGGGTGAGTGAGTGAGTGAGTGACTGAGCGAGTGAGTGAGTGAGTGGGTGAGTGAGTGAGTGGGTGAGTGAGTGAGCGAGTGACTGAGCGAGTGGGTGAGTGAGTGTGTGAGTGAGTGAGTGAGTGACTGAGCGAGTGGATGAGTGAGTGAGTGAGTGGGTGAGTGAGTGAGTGAGTGACTGAGCGAGTGAGTGAGTGAGTGAGTGAGTGGGTGAGTGGGTGAGTGACTGAGCGAGTGGGTGAGTGAGTGAGTGAGTGACTGAGTGAGTGAGTGAGTGACTGAACAAACGAGTGAGTGACTGAGCGAGCGACTGACTGAGTGGGTGAGTGAGTGAGTGAGTGGGTGAGCGAGTGAGTGAGTGAGCGAGTGAGTGACTGACTGAGTGAGTGAGTGACTGAACGAACGAGTGAGTGACTGAGCGAGCGACTGACTGAGTGGGTGAGTGAGTGAGTGAGTGGGTGAGTGAGTGAGTGAGTGGGTGAGTGAGTGAGTGAGTGACTGAGCGAGTGGGTGAGTGAGTGAGTGGGTGAGTGAGTGAGTGAGTGACTGAGCGAGTGGGTGAGTGAGTGAGTGAGTGGGTGAGTGAGTGAGTGAGTGGGTGAGTGGGTGAGTGAGTGAGTGACTGAGCGAGTGGGTGAGTGAGTGAGTGAGTGGGTGAGTGGATGAGTGAGTGAGTGAGCGAGTGGATGAGTGAGTGAGTGGGTGAGTGAGTGAGTGAGTGACTGAGCGAGTGGGTGACTGAGCGAGTGGGTGAGTGAGTGAGTGGGTGAGTGAGTGAGTGACTGAGAGCGCGAGTGAGTGAGTGAGTGACTGAGCGAGTGAGTGAGTGAGTGACTGAGCGAGTGAGTGACTGAGCGAGTGGGTGAGTGAGTGAGTGAGTGACTGAGAGAGTGAGTGACTGAGCGAGTGAGTGACTGAGCGAGTGAGTGACTGAGCGAGCGAGTGACTGACTGAGTGAGTGAGTGACTGAACGAACGAGTGAGTGACTGAGCGAGCGACTGACTGAGTGGGTGAGTGAGTGAGTGAGTGGGTGAGTGAGTGAGTGAGTGGGTGAGTGAGTGAGTGAGTGACTGAGCGAGTGGGTGAGTGAGTGAGTGAGTGGGTGAGTGAGTGAGTGAGTGGGTGAGTGAGTGAGTGAGTGAGTGAGTGACTGAGCGAGTGGGTGAGTGAGTGAGTGAGTGGGTGAGTGAGTGAGTGAGTGGGTGAGTGAGTGAGTGAGTGACTGAGCGAGTGGGTGAGTGAGTGAGTGAGTGACTGAGCGAGTGGATGAGTGAGTGAGTGAGTGACTGAGCGAGTGACTGAGAGAGCGAGTGAGTGAGTGAGTGACTGAGCGAGTGGGTGAGTGAGTGAGTGAGTGACTGAGCGAGTGAGTGAGTGAGTGGGTGAGTGAGTGAGTGAGTGGGTGAGTGAGTGAGTGAGTGACTGAGCGAGTGGGTGAGTGAGTGAGTGAGTGAGTGGGTGAGTGAGTGAGTGAGTGGGTGAGTGAGTGAGTGAGTGACTGAGCGAGTGGGTGAGTGAGTGAGTGAGTGGGTGAGTGAGTGAGTGAGTGGGTGAGTGAGTGAGTGACTGAGCGAGTGGGTGAGTGAGTGAGTGAGTGACTGAGCGAGTGGATGAGTGAGTGAGTGAGTGACTGAGCGAGTGACTGAGAGAGCGAGTGAGTGAGTGAGTGACTGAGCGAGTGGGTGAGTGAGTGAGTGAGTGACTGAGCGAGTGGATGAGTGAGTGAGTGAGTGACTGAGCGAGTGGATGAGTGAGTGACTGAGCGAGTGGATGAGTGAGTGAGTGAGTGACTGAGCGAGTGGATGAGTGAGTGAGTGAGTGACTGAGCGAGTGACTGAGAGAGCGAGTGAGTGAGTGAGTGACTGAGCGAGTGGGTGAGTGAGTGAGTGAGTGACTGAGCGAGTGGATGAGTGAGTGAGTGAGTGACTGAGCGAGTGGATGAGTGAGTGAGTGAGTGACTGAGCGAGTGACTGAGCGAGTGAGTGACTGAGCGAGTGGGTGAGTGAGTGAGTGAGTGGGTGAGTGAGTGAGTGAGCGAGTGAGTGACTGACTGAGTGAGTGAGTGACTGAACGAACGAGTGAGTGACTGAGCGAGCGACTGACTGAGTGGGTGAGTGAGTGAGTGAGTGACTGAGCGAGTGGGTGAGTGAGTGAGTGAGTGACTGAGCGAGTGAGTGACTGAGCGAGTGGGTGAGTGAGTGAGTGACTGAGCAAGTGGGTGAGTGAGTGAGTGGGTGAGTGAGTGAGTGACTGAGCGAGTGAGTGACTGACTGAGTGGGTGAGTGAGTGAGTGACTGAGCGAGTGGGTGAGTGAGTGAGTGACTGAGCGAGTGAGTGACTGAGCGAGTGAGTGACTGAGTGAGTGAGTGACTGAACGAACGAGTGAGTGACTGAGCGAGCGACTGACTGAGTGGGTGAGTGAGTGAGTGAGTGACTGAGTGAGTGAGTGAGTGACTGAGTGAGTGAGTGAGTGACTGAACGAACGAGTGAGTGACTGAGCGAGCGACTGACTGAGTGGGTGAGTGAGTGAGTGAGTGACTGAGCGAGTGAGTGACTGAGCGAGCGAGTGACTGACTGAGTGAGTGAGTGACTGAACGAACGAGTGAGTGACTGAGCGAGCGACTGACTGAGTGGGTGAGTGAGTGAGTGAGTGACTGAGCGAGTGAGTGACTGAGCGAGTGGGTGAGTGAGTGAGTGACTGAGCAAGTGAGTGACTGAGCGAGTGGGTGAGTGAGTGAGTGAGTGACTGAGTGAGTGAGTGACTGAGCGAGTGAGTGACTGACTGAGTGGGTGAGTGAGTGAGTGAGTGGGTGAGTGACTGAGCGAGTGACTGAGCGAGTGACTGAGCGAGTGAGTGAGTGAGTGACTGAGCGAGTGACTGAGCGAGTGAGTGAGTGAGTGAGTGAGTGACTGAGCGAGTGGGTGACTGAGCGAGTGGGTGAGTGAGTGAGTGAGTGACTGAGCGAGTGAGTGACTGAGCGAGCGACTGACTGACTGAGTGAGTGAGTGAGTGACTGAGCGAGTGAGTGACTGAGAGAGTGAGTGACTGAGCAAGTGGGTGAGTGAGTGAGTGACTGAGCGAGTGGGTGAGTGAGTGAGTGAGTGACTGAGCGAGTGAGTTACTGAGAGAGCGAGTGAGTGACTGAGTGAGTGAGTGAGTTACTGAGAGAGCGAGTGAGTGAGTGAGTGACTGACTGAGTGGATGAGTGAGTGAGTGACTGAGCGAGTGGGTGAGTGAGTGAGTGAGTGAGCGAGTGAGTGACTGACTGAGTGGGTGAGTGAGTGAGTGAGTGAGTGACTGAGAGAGCGAGTGAGTGAGTGACTGAGCGAGTGAGTGACTGAGCGAGCGAGTGACTGAGTGAGTGAGTTACTGAGAGAGCGAGTGAGTGAGTGACTGAGCGAGTGGGTGAGTGTGAGTGAGTGACTGAGAGAGCGAGTGAGTGAGTGACTGAGCGAGTGAGTGACTGAGCGAGTGAGTGAATGAACTGAGCGAGTGAGTGACTGAGCGAGCAAGTGACTGAGTGAGTGAGTGACTGAGCGAGTGAGTTACTGAGCAAGTGACTGAGCGAGCGACTGACTGAGTGGGTGAGTGAGTGACTTAGCGAGCAAGTGATTGACTTAGCGAGTGATTGACTGAGTGAGTGACTGAGCGAGGGATTGACTGAGCGAGTGAGTGACTGAGCGAGCGAGTGACTGGGCGAGCGAGTGACTGAGCGAGTGAGTGACTGAGCGAGTGAGTGACTGAGCGAGTGACTGAGCGAGCGAGTGACTGGGCGAGCGAGTGACTGAGCGAGTGAGTGACTGAGCGAGTGAGTGACTGAGCGAGTGAGTGACTGAGCGAGCGAGTGACTGAGCGAGTGAGTGACTGAGCGAGCGAGTGATTGAGCGAGCGACTGACTGACTGAGCGAGTGAGTGACTGAGCGAGCGAGTGACTGAGCGAGCGAGTGACTGAGCGAGCGAGTGACTGGGCGAGCGAGTGACTGGGCGAGCGAGTGATTGAGCGAGCGACTGACTGACTGAGCGAGTGAGTGACTGAGCGAGCGAGTGACTGAGCGAGCGAGTGATTGAGCGAGCGAGTGACTGGGCGAGCGAGTGACTGAGCGAGTGAGTGACTGAGCGAGTGAGTGACTGAGCGAGCGAGTGACTGAGCGAGTGAGTGACTGGGCGAGCGAGTGACTGAGCGAGCGACTGACTGAGTGAGCAAGCGACTGACTGAGTGAATGATTGACTGGGTGAGTGAGTGATTGAGCGAGCGAGTGACTGAGCGAGCGAGTGACTGACTGAGTGAGTGAGTGACTGAGTGAATGATTGACTGGGTGAGTGAGTGACTGAGTGAGTGAGTGATTGACTGGGCGACTGACTGACTGAGCGAGTGAGTAACTGAGCGAGCGAGTGACTGAGCGAGCGAGTGACTGAGCGAGCGACTGACTGACTGAGCGAGTGAGTGACTGAGTGAGTGATTGACTGGGCGAGCGAGTGACTGAGCGAGCGACTGACTGACTGAGCGAGCGAGTGACTGAGCGAGCGAGTGATTGAGCGAGTGACTGATTGACTGAGTGAATGATTGACTGGGCGAGCGAGTGACTGAGCGAGTGAGTAACTGAGCGAGCGAGTGACTGAGCGAGCGAGTGACTGAGCGAGCGAATGACTGACTGAGCGAGTGAGTAACTGAGCGAGTGAGTAACTGAGCGAGCGAGTGACTGAGCGAGCGAGTGATTGAGCGAGCGACTGACTGACTGAGCGAGTGACTGACTGACTGAGCGAGTGAGTGACTGAGCGACTGACTGACTGCGTGAGTGAGTGACTGAGTGAATGATTGACTGCGTGAGTGAGTGACTGAGTGAATGATTGACTGCGTGAGTGAGTGACTGAGTGAGTGATTGACTGGGCGAGCGAGTGACTGGGCGAGCGAGTGACTGAGCGAGCGAGTGACTGGGCGAGCGAGTGCCTGAGCGAGTGAGCGGGGTGAGCGCTCACCCTGGACCAGTTGTTCTGCTGTGCCAGAAGATCTGCGTAGTGGAAGGCTTCGAGCCACTGCATGCGGAACGTGAGGCACCACATGAGCTCCCAGTAACACATGTGGTGGAATTGGGGCCACAGCGACTGGGAGCTCACACACTCTTGGAGCTTCATCATGGCCTGGTCGGCACGGCGGGGAGGGTGGGACACAGCACGGACTCAGTACTCACAGACTCAGCACTGCACCATAGACTCAGTACTGCCCATAGACTCAACACTGCCCATAGACTCAACACTGCCCATAGACTCAACACTGCACCATAGACTCAGCACTGCACCATAGACTCAACACTGCCCATAGACTCAGCACTGCCCATAGACTCAACACCGCCCATAGACTCAACACTGCCCATAGACTCAGTACTGCCCATAGACTCAACACTACCCATAGACTCAACACTGCACCATAGACTCAACACTGCCCATAGACTCAACACTGCCCATAGACTCAGCACTGCCCATAGACTCAACACTGCCCATAGACACAACACTGCCCATTGAATGAGCACAGCCCATAGACTCAGCACTGCACCATAGACTCAACATTACCCATAGACTCAACACTGCCCATAGACTCAACACTGTTCATAGACTCAACACTGCACCATAGACTCAACACTGCCCATAGACTCAACACTGCCCATAGACTCAACACTGCCCATAGACTCAACACTGCACCATAGACTCAGCACTGCACCATAGACTCAACACTGCCCATAGACTCAGCACTGCACCATAGACTCAACACTGCCCATAGACACAACACTGCCCATTGAATGAGCACAGCCCATAGACTCAACACTGCCCCATAGACTCAACACTGCCCATAGACTCAACACTGCACCATAGACTCAACACTGCCCATAGACTCAACACTGCACCATAGACTCAACACTGCACCATAGACTCAACACTGCCCATAGACTCAACACTGCACCATAGACTCAGCACTGCACCATAGACTCAACACTACCCATAGACTCAACACTACCCATAGACTCAATACTACCTAGAGACTCAACACTGCCCATAGACTCAACACTGCACCATAGACTCAGCACTACCCATAGACTCAACACTGCCCATAGACTCAACACTGCCCATAGACTCAACACTGCCCATAGACTCAACACTGCCCATAGACTCAACACTGCCCATTGAATGAGCACTGCCCATAGACTCAACACTGCCCCATAGACTCAACACTGCCCATAGACACAACACTGCCCATAGACTCAGCACTACCCATAGACTCAACACTGCACCTTAGACTCAACACTGCCCATAGACTCAACACTGCCCATAGACTCAGCACTGCCCATAGACTCAACACTGCCCATAGACTCAACACTGCACCATAGACTCAGCACTGCCCATAGACTCAACACTGCACCATAGACTCAACACTGCCCATAGACTCAACAGTGCACCATAGACTCAACACTGCACCATAGACTCAGCACTGCACCATAGACTCAACACTGCCCATAGACTCAACACTGCACCATAGACTCAGCACTGCACCATAGACTCAGCACTGCACCATAGACTCAACACTGCCCATAGACTCAACACTGCACCTTAGACTCAACACTGCACCATAGACTCAACACTGCACCATAGACTCAACACTGCCCATAAACACAACACTGCCCATAGACTCAACATTACCCATAGACTCAGCACTGCACCATCGACTCAGCACTGCACCATCGACTCAACACTGCCCATAGACTCAACACTGCACCATAGACTCAGCACTGCACCATAGACTCAACACTGCACCATAGACTCAACACTGCACCATAGACTCAACACTGCCCATTGAATGAGCACTGCCCATAGACTCAACACTGCCCATAGACTCAACACTGCCCATAGACTCAACACTGCCCATAGACTCAACACTGCCCATAGACTCAACACTGCCCATAGACTCAATACAGCCCATAGACTCAACACTGCCCATAGACTCAACACTGCCCATAGACTCAACATTACCCATAGACTCAACACTGCACCATAGACTCAACACTGCCCATAGACTCAACACTGCACCATAGACTCAGCACTGCACCATAGACTCAACACTACCCATAGACTCAACACTACCCATAGACTCAATACTACCTAGAGACTCAACACTGCCCATAGACTCAACACTGCACCGAAGACTCAGCACTACCCATAGACTCAACACTGCCCATAGACTCAACACTGCACCATAGACTCAACACTGCACCGTAGACTCAACACTGCCCATAGACTCAACACTGCCCATAGACTCAACACTGCCCATAGACTCAACACTGCCCATAGACTCAACACTGCACCATAGACTCAACACTGCACCATAGACTCAACACTACCCATAGACTCAACACTACCCATAGACAACACTGCACCATAGACTCAATACTACCTAGAGACTCAACACTGCCCATAGACTCAACACTGCACCATAGACTCAACACTGCCCGTAGACTCAGCACTGCCAATAGACTCAGCACTGCACCATAGACTCAACACTGCCCATAGACTCAGCACTGCCCATAGACTCAGCACTGCCAATAGACTCAGCACTGCACCATAGACTCAGCACTGCCCATAAACTCAACACTGCCCATAGACTCAGCACTGCCCATAGACTCAACACTGCGACCCATAGACGTAAGTGCGGGGTTAAATAGTGGGGGGGCTAGTGGGGGGAGGGGGAGATAGTGGGAGGGGCTAGTGGGAAGAGGGGGAGATAGAGGGAGGGGCTAGTGGCGGGAGGGGGAGATAGTGGGGGGGTGCTAGTGGGGGGAGGGGGAGATAGTGGGGGGGACAAGTGGGGGGAGATAGTGGGAGGGGCTAGTGGAGGGAGGGGGAGATAGTGGGGGGGGCTAGTGGGGGGAGATAGTGGGGGGGGGCTAGTGGGGGGAGACTGTGGGGGGAACCTCTGGGATGTTCCCTTTGATCTCTTCAATTCTTCCAGCAAAGAACAGGAAAATAGCTCCCTGCAGGCAACATCACCACCATCATCACCATCACCATCAACAACATCATCACCATTAACATCACCACCATCATCACCATCACCACCATCAACATCAACAACAACATCACCAACAACATCATCAACAACAACATCACCATCACCAACAACATCACCACCACCATCAACAACATCACCAACATCATCACCAACAACATCACCACCATTAACATCATCACCAACAACATCACCAACATCATCACAACCACCATCATCACCAACAACATCACCACCATCACCATCAACAACATCATCACCATCAACATCACCACCATCAACATCACCACCATCAACAACATCACCAACATCAACATCACCACCATCATCACCATCACCACCATCAACATCACCACCATCACCACCATCATCACCAACAACATCACCACCATCATCACCAACAACATCACCACCATCATCAACAACATCAACATCACCACCATCACCAACATCATCACCATCAACATCACCACCATCAACATCACCACCATCATCACCAACAACATCACCAACATCATCACCAACAACATCACCAACAACATCACCACCATCAACATCAACACCATCATCACCAACAACATCACCAACATCATCACCAACAACATTACCAACAACATCACCACCATTAACATCATCACCAACAACATCACCAAAATCATCACCAACAACATCACCAACAACATCACCACCATCAACATCACCACCATCATCACCAACAACATCACCACCATCACCATCAACAACATCAACATCACCACCATCACTATCACAACCATCATCACCATTAACATCATCACCAACAACATCACCACCATCAACAACATCAACATCACCATCATCACCATCACCACCATCAACATCACCATCACCACCATCACCACCGTCAACAACATCACCATCACCACCATCACCACCATCAACAACATCACCATCACAACCATCAATATCACCATCACCACCACCAACATCAACAACATCACAACCATCAACATCACCATCACCACCATCAACAACATCACCACCATCAACATCACCACCATCAACATCACCACCATCAACAACATCACCACCATCACCACCATCACTACCACCACCATCACCACCATCACCACCATCAACAACATCACCACCATCACCACCATCAACAACACCACCACCATCACCACCATCACCATCACCAACATCACCACCATCACCACCACCACCAACATCACCACCACCACCACCATCACCACCATCACCACCATCACCATCACCAACATCACCACCATCACCACCACCACCATCACCACCACCATCAACATCACCACCATGAACATCACCACCATCACCATCACCACCATCAACATCACCATCACCACCATCAACATCACCATCAGCAACATCACCATCACCACCATCAACATCACCATCACCACCATTAACATTACCATCACCACCATCAACATCGCCATCACCACCATCAACATCACCACCACCATCACCACCATCACCATCAACATCACCACCGTAACCACCATCAACATCACCACCACCACCATCAACATCACCACCATCACCACCATCAACATCACCACCATCAATATCAGCACCATCACCACCACCATCAACATGACCACCATCAACATCACTATCAACATCACCACCATCAACATCACCATCACCATCACCACCATCAACATCACCACCATCACCGCCATCAACATCACCACCATCACCACCATCACCACCACCATCAACATCACCACCATCAACATCACCACCATCACCACCACCATCAAGATAACCACCATCAACATCACAATCAACATAACCACCATCACCACCATCACCACCATCAACATCAACATCACCACCATCACCACCACCATCACCACCACCATCACCACCATCAACATAACCACCATCAACATAACCACCATCACCACCATCACCACTACCACCATCAACATCACCACCATCACCACCACCACCATCAACATAACCACCATCACCACCATCACCATCACCACCATCACCATCACCACCATCAACATCACCAACATCAACATCACCACCATCACCACCACCATCAACATAACCACCATCAACATCACCACCATCAGCATAAACATCACCACCATCACCATTAACATAACCACCATCAACATCACCACCATCAACATCACCACCATCACCACCATCAACATCACCACCATCACCACCATCAACATCACCACCATCAACATAACCACCATCACCACCATCACCACCATCAACATCACCGCCATCAACATCACCACCATCACCACCACCACCACCACCATCACCACCACCATCAACATAACCACCATCACCATCACCACCACCATCAACATAACCACCATCACCACCACCATCAACATCACAACTTCAGTGTTAAGCGGTAGGTGATGGTGGTGCCAGGCTAGGTGCACCTCACATTAGGGTATCTCTGTAGGTACGGCCTCAGGATCTCCTCTGCTTCTGTGACATCTCCTTCCCCAGTGCCTGGGCAGAGGCAAAGACAAAGGTAGCGCTCACCCAGGTAGCCTGATTGAGATCTAACACAGAGACCCACAGACTCACCACACAGAGACCCACAGACTCACCACACAGAGACCCACAGACTCACCACACAGAGACCCACAGACTCACCACACAGAGACCCACAGACTCACCACACAGAGACCCACAGACTCACCACAGAGACCCACAGACTCACCACACAGAGACCCACAGACTCACCACACAGAGACCCACAGACTCACCACACAGAGACCCACAGACTCACCACACAGAGACCCACAGACTCACCACACAGAGACCCACAGACTCACCACATAGAGACCCACAGACTCACCACGCAGAGACCCACAGACTCACCACACAGAGACCCACAGACTCACCACGCAGAGACCCACAGACTCACCACACAGAGACCCATAGACTCACCACACAGAGACCCACAGACTCACCACACAGAGACCCATAGACTCACCACACAGAGACCCACAGACTCACCACATAGAGACCCATAGACTCACCACATAGAGACCCACAGACTCACCACACAGAGACCCACAGACTCACCACACAGAGACCCACAGACTCACCACACAGAGACCCACAGACTCACCACACAGAGACCCACAGACTCACCACACAGAGACCCACAGACTCACCACATAGAGACCCACAGACTCACCACACAGAGACCCACAGACTCACCACACAGAGACCCACAGACTCACTACATAGAGACCCACAGACTCACCACACAGAGACCCACAGACTCACTACACAGAGACCCATAAACTCACCACACAGAGATCCACAGACTCACCACATAGAGACCCATAGACTCACCACACAGAGATCCACATAATCACCACACGGAGACCCATAGACTCACCACACAGAGACCCACAGACTCACCACACAGAGACCCACAGACTCACCACATAGAGACCCATAGACTCACCACACAGAGATCCACGTAATCATCACACAAAGACCCATAGACTCACCACACAGAGACCCATAGACTCACCACACAGAGACCCACAGACTCACCACATAGAGACCCACAGACTCACCACACAGAGACCCATGGACTCACAACACAGAGACCCATAGACTCACCACACAGAGATCCACATAATCACCACACGGAGACCCATAGACTCACCACACAGAGACCCATAGACTCACCACACAGAGACCCATAGACTCACCACACAGAGACCCATAGACTCACCACACAGAGACCCATAAACTCAACACACAGAGATCCACAAACTCACCACATTGAGACCCATAGACTCACCACACAAAGATCCACAGAATCACCACACAGAGATCCACAGAATCACCACACAGAGATCCATAGAATCACCACAGAGACCCATAGACTCACCACACAGAGACCCATAGACTCACCACAGAGAGACCGATAGACTCACTACAGTGACCCATAGACTCACCACACAGAGACCCATAGACTCACCACACAGAGACCCATAGACTCACCACACAGAGACCCATAAACTCACCACACAGAGATCCACAAACTCACCACATTGAGACCCATAGACTCACCACACAGAGATCCACAGAATCACCACGCAGAGACCCACAGACTCACCACACAGAGACCCATAGGCTCATCACACAGACTCACCACATAGAGACCCATAGACTCATCACACAGACCCACAGACTCACCACACAGAAACCACAGACTCACCACACAGAGACCCATAGACTCACCACACAGATCCATAGACTCACCACACAGAGACCCATAGACTCACCACACAGGCCCATAGACTCATGACACAGAGACCCACAGACTCACCAAACAGAGGCCCACAGACTCACCACACAGAGATCCATGGACTCACCGAGGACGAAGCTGATGAATGTGTGGTAGCAAAGGAGCCCCATTGCACACAGACACGAGCGGAGCGTCATCCCCACGGCTCCTTCTCTCAGCTGGGACAGCGCCACTTCCTGGGTGGGTGGGTGAGCGGGTGAGCAGGTGGGCAGGCGGGTGAGCGGGTGAGTGAGCGAGTGGGCGGGTGGGCGAGTGGGCAAGTTGGTGAGCCAGTGAACGGGTGGGTGGGTGGGTCAGCGGATGGCCGGGTGAGTGGGTGAGTGGGTGGGTGAACGAGTGGGTGGGTGAGTGGGTGAGTGGGTGACCAGGTGATCTGGTGAGTGTTTGAGTGAGTGGGTGAGTGGGTGAGTAGGTGGGTGAGTGTGTGAGTGGGTGGGTGGGTGAGTGTGTGAGTGGGTGGGTGGGTGGGTGAACGAGTGGGTGGGTGAGTGTGTGAGTGGGTGATCAGGTGAGTGTTTGAGTGAGTGGGTGAGTGGGTGGGTGAGTGTGTGAGTGCGCGAGTGGGTGGGTGAGTGTGTGAGTGAGTGGGTGGGTGGGTGGGTGAACGAGTGGGTGGGTGAGTGGGTGAGTGGGTGATCAGGTGAGTGTTTGAGTGAGTGGGTGAGTGGGTGGGTGAACGAGTGGGTGGGTGAGTGGGTGAGTGGGTGATCAGGTGAGTGTTTGAGTGAGTGGGTGAGTAGGTGGGTGAGTGTGTGAGTGGGTGGGTGGGTGGGAAGGTGGGAGGTTGCGTGAGTTAAATAACGCAGGCACCGGAGGACATCTCTGTCGCCACGTAGCTTTACCTGGGGCCTGGCCACCATCATGAAGGTCCCTAATGATTTTGAGCAGAGAGTCAGAGACTCGGAAATCACGAAGAACACGACAGAGTCCAGGTCTACTGATTGCATCATCGGCCTTGACCAGGTCAATAAGCAGACGAACAGAAAATATGGCATCTGTGCAGGACTGCCCTGGTCTGAAACCACAATGGGGCTCCGCAAGCCTCTCCCAAGCGCGCGGACACAGGGAGAGACACGGAGACAGATGAGATAGGAAGGAGACACGAAGATCCCAGTCAGAGACGGAAGAGACAGAGACGCAGTGACACGTGGAGATGAGACACGGAGACACGGATGAGACACGGACCTGCAATGGTAACCTGTTGGTTCCATGCAATTCAGGCACCCCCTAAAGAAGAGAGACAAAGACGGACCTGACTCACTCGGCCACCCACTCAAATACTCACCCATCAACCAACCACTCACTCACCCAACCACCCACCCACCCAACCGCCCATCCCCTCACTCACCCAACCACTCACTCACTCAACCACCCACCCAAGCACCCAATCACCCACCCACTCACTCACCCACCCACCCACTCACCCACTCACCCACCCACCTTGTTACCGGAGAAACCAATGAATTCGAGGAGCTTCAGAATCCGCGTTGGAACCATGGACAGAATCTGTGAAATTACAACACCATCACCACCATCAGCATCGTCAGCACCATCAGCACCATCCAATACCAATATCCGCCATTCGCTGCTAAGTGACGGTGACGTCAAAAACAGCGCCTGCGCCAGGCCAAGTGCACTTTGAGGCCATGTGAAGTGTCGAACGCCCGCTGGCAGGAGGTCTCGGGACAGACCCAGCAGGTGCCACGGGTCGGCTGACTGAGATGACTGATAGATGCACCAGCTGAACCCTCCACCGTGCCACCTTACTGCATTTTAACCGCCCGGCGCTCTGCTTGTTATCGTGAGCGTCGCTTCTCCGCCCTCCGTTGTTGCTGGAGGGTGACCGCCACCAACTGCCCAGTAGCGTCCTTCACAGAGCCTCCTCCACAGAGGCCGATCTTGACACCGCTGGTACCAGTCACCGGCAAGTCCACTCAGCTCCACAACCTCCCGTACCGCATTTGTCCATCTCTTCACTAGCCCGTGTCGTGCCCGTTCAGCCCCCTCTATGTGGCCAAACAGAAGCTGCTTGGGGCATGCGGTGGCTGGGCGAGCGTGCTCAATGGCCCAGCCAATGCAGCCTTGCCTGCCGGAGGAGCTCACTGATTGGCCTGTGGCCAGATCTTTCTCACACAATCCAGCCTGGTTTAACCCAGGATGGATCGTGAGCATGCCAGCCTGAATGTTTCTAACCGGCGCAGATGTTCCATGAGAGGGGTCCACATTTCACAAGCGAAGAGGAGGGAGGGCATGACTGTGTCCGAGAAGACTCGAAGCTTCGTGCGGAGTGACAGACCAGGTAGCTTCCGCACAGCATTGCGCAGCCGATGGAAAGATAAATGCCGCTCGACTAATTCGGAGTGAGACCTCTAAAGTCAAACTGGAGCTGGTCATCAGCACCATCACCACCATCGCCACCATCACCACCATCACCACTATCCCCATCAGCTCCACCAGGTAAGTCCTGGTGTCAAGGACGTTGGTCCACATCATCTGCTGTTCCGTCACTCTGTAGTCCATCAGATGTTCTTGCTTGAACGTGGCGTGCATTCCTTGATGTTGTGTGGATGATGCAGCCATAGGTAGCAGCTGGTGAACCACAGTCCAGAACCTTACCCCCATTTCACCTCGGCATCCAAAAACTAAAACATTAGGATTGGGATCGAACTCACGACTCGTATATACCAGGTGAGGTAGTTAACATCTCCTAGCCACCGTGATGATGATGAGAGAGAGAGATGATGATGACTCAAAATTTCCAGCAGCAGGCATCGTCAGGATCGGGATTGAACCCACGAACTCCTGTATACTGGGCGAAGTAGAAGGGGGGGGGGGATGATGCCAACCCCAGCAGCAAGTGATGATGAAATTCAAGTTTGCAAATTTAATTAGCTAGCTGAGACCAGACCACCGTGGCTCTTTGAATAATGGCAGGCGCATCATCTTACAGATGACAAGCCGATGGTCAGTGGGCAGCTTAGCTCCACGGTAGGTCCTGGTGTCAAGGACATGGGCCTGCATCTGCTGTTCCATCACTATATAGTCCAGCAGTTATTCTTGCTTGGACCCGGCATTGCTTCCATGATGTTGTGTGGATGCGCCGATGCTGGAACTGCGTGTTGGTAAATACAAGCCCATGGACTGCACAAAGATCGATCAACCTCCTACCGTTGTTATTGAGCTGCCGTGGCCCATGCCTTCCAATCACTCCAGACCAGGTGCCAGTATCATGACCAACTCGTGCATCACAGTCACCCAACAGGATGACTCTATCCCGAGGGGACACTTTAGCCAGCACCTCTAAGCGGAGGTCATAGAAGACTCATCGGCCTTGTCTGCATCCCTCCACTGATGTTCATCTTCGGTGGGCATAAGTAACCACCATTCCCCTCGCCTCTGGTTGATTGGGAGGCGAGCCCACAGAAGCCTGGGACTTGCAGCTTCCCACACCTCACCGCGACACTCCCACGCCCCCTTCATTTTTTTGTTACGAATAAGAGCCACTCCCTGTTGTTTGACAGTCTCCTGCCCCGAGTAGAGGACTGTCCACCCCTCATGGTGGCAGGAGCCAGAGCCATTCCACCGTATCTCTGGAATACCGCAGAAATCCAGGCGGGTACCGGTCCAGCTCCTGACAGAGGAGTGGCAGCCTCTCCTCCACAGACACACCACGCCAAGGTTACGGTACCAGGTTAAAGGTTCCAGTCCCCAGGTGAACTCCGCCCTCAAACTCAGAGACATTTTCTCCAGCCATGACGCAGGGAAGAGCGAGCATCTGCTGGCATTCCCTGCAGAGAGGGAGACAGGGAGTGAGTGGGCGAGTGAGCGGGTGAGTGAGTGGTAGAGGGAGGGAGGGGGGTAAGTGGGTGGGTGAGTGAGTGAGCGGGTGAGTGGGATAGAGTGGGTGAGTGAGCGGGTGAGTGGGATAGAGTGAGTGAGTGAGCGGGTGAGTGGGATAGAGTGGGTGAGTGAGCGGGTGAGTGAGCAGGTGAAGAGAGAGGGAGTGGATGATTGTGGTGGAGTGGTTGTGATGGTTGTCATGGTATAGGTGGTGGTGGTTGTGGTGGTTGTGGTAGTAGTGGTGGTAGTGGTGGTTGTGGTGGTTGTGGTGGTGCAGTTGTGATGGTTGTGGTGTGTTACTTGTAAATGTTGTAGCTCTGTCGAACTTTAATTCCTCCTTTGATGAAGTTGATCATATTCTCATCCTGCAACCACAACCACCACAAAAACCACAACCATCACAACCATTACCATCACCACTACCAAAACCACCACACCCACCACAACAACAACAACAACCATTACAACCATTACCACCACCATTACCAAACCCCCACAACATCCACAACCACTTCAACCACAACTCCCATCACTATAACCGCTACAACCACAACCACCACATCCACAACCAGTAAAACCATTACCACCATCACTACCACAAGCACAACAACATCCACAACCACTTCAACCACAACTCCCATCACCATAACCGCTACAACCACAACCACCACACCCATAACCAGTAAAACCATCACCACCATCACTACCACAAGCACAAGCAGAGCAATAAATATAACCACGACCATACTCATGAGTAAGTGGGTGGATGAGTGAATTAATGAATTCCTGAGTGGGTGAGCAGATGAATGATTGGGTGAGTAAGTGGGTAATTAGCTGAGTGAGTGAGTGGTATGTAGGTGGATGAGTGAGCAAGTGGGAGAGTGGGTCAGTGAATGAGTGACTGAGAGAGTGACCGAGATAGTGAGTGAATGACTGAGTCAGTGGGTGGGTAATTGACGGTGTGAGTGAGTGAATGACTGAGTGGGTGGTTAATTGAACGAGTGGCTGAGTGGATGAGTAAAAGAGTGAGTGACTGGGTAGGTGGTTGATTGAGTGGATGATTGAGTTAGTGAGTGGTGAGTGAGTCGGTGTGTGATTGAGTGGGTAGGTGATTGACTGAGTGACTGAGATGGTGAGTGAGTGGGTGGCTGATTGAATGAGTGACTGAGTGAGTGGGTGGGTGATTGAGTAATTTTCTGAGTGGATTAGTGAGTGGGTGGGTTATTTAGTGAGTGAGTGGGTGATTTAGTGAGTGAGTGGATGGGTGGGAGACTGAATTGGTGAGTGAGTGGTGAGTGGTTGAATGGGTGAATCAGTGGGTGAGCGAATGAGTGAGTGATTACACAATTTTTTAGACGTCGTCTGCTTCAGAGATTAAATGTGCTGTTTATTATGGATTTTGATGTGCTGAATTCAAATATGACAATTAAAACAACTGATTGGCTACTCTTCCCAAGATATTTAAGTTTTTACATTTTATGTCTATGCATATTGCGTAGATAATTGTACTCATAAATTGCTAACCTAGGTCTTTTCATGTGTTTATGGTTGCTTTACATGATAACATGTCACCTGTCCTGTTCATGTAACACTTAAAAAAAAAACAGCAAATGGGTGATATCAATAAAATGTATTACGAAACAAAAGGCAAAAATATATTATGTTTATATAAGTACAGAGTTGAGTCCTCATTCAGTGTCTACTCGGTGCTTCTTGGCTTGTCTCTTGTATTCATTTTAAATGGACCATCTCTGGTCACTGTCCAGCGATAGCCTGCAAGCATTGATGGGCTCCATTTGCCCGGACAGCGTTTCTCCATCGTCGCGATGTCCTGGGTGAAATCGCTCGCCGTGCTCATCGCTCACTGCTCCGCAGTTCGGTGGGGAAAAGTCTAGATGAGAGTGAAAAACATTTTTTATCTTTAGCGACATGTTGCAACCAAGGCTTTTGTATGCCTTGAGGAGGTTTTCCACCAACTCCATGTAGCTCGTGTTGCCCCGGTTGTTTCCGAGAACATTTGGTGCCACTAACTGGAAGGCCTTTCCATGCCGTCTTTTCCTCGCCACGCAGCGCACTGTCAAATGCATCACATCTCGAAGACGTTCACGAATCTGAGGACCAACAAAGACACCTTCCTTTATCTTAGCTTCACTTAACCTTGGATATTTTCCACGAAGGCACTTGAAAGCTGCTTGTGTTTTGTCCATGGCTTTGACAAAGTTCTTCATCAGACCCAGCTTCTTTCAATGGTTCTTTCGGTAAAGTCACGTAGAATGAGAATAAAATAATAAATTGATAAAATAACACAATAAAATTCTCACGACGTTTCGGCCACAACACAAGCGGCCTTCATCAGGTGAAGGGACGAGACTGTCCTAGTAGGACAGCGCTGTCCTACCAGGACAGCGCTGTCCTACCAGACAGCCAGGACAGTGCTGTCCTACCAGACAGTCTCGTCCCTTCACCTGATGAAGGCCGCTCGTGTTGTGGCCGAAACGTCGTGAGAATATTATTGTGTTATTTTATTTTATCAATTTATTATTTTATACCTCATTCTACGTGGTGGTGACTTTACCGAAAGAACCAAAGAAGATGAATCCTTGCGGTCACGAAAGCTTCAAATCGAAATTCAGACCCAGCTTGATGTGTAAGGGTGGTAACAAAATCTTCCTCGATTCAACAAGTGGTGGATGCTGAACACTTTTCCTCCCAGGGAATCTCTCACTCGACTACCCCATTCGCAGAGAAGACAGCGGCAGTACTTTGTGTGTCCAGTCTGCAGGCAAAGCAAGAGAGCAACAACCTTCAAATCTCCACAAAGCTGCCACTGACGTTGGTCACAGCTAATGCGCCTCAACAGTTGTTCCATGTTGCCATAGGTTTCCTTTATATGTGCAGTGGAGTAGGAAGGCGTGCTGGGGGAAACTGCGCGAGTGTACTGATCACACGGACGGCGCGGGGGTTTATCTGGGCTCAGCCTGAGGAGACGGCGGACACAGTGGGGTCGTGTGAGGTCGGCCAAGTGAAGAGGCTGGGGTGATGAGGTAACGGTCGGGCCAATTAAGCCAGAAGTTGCTGTGATTGGTTGGCGCCGTTGCTGGGTGCCGAGGAGGCGTCGAGGTGTCTGGAAAAAGTGGGAGGTGGTTGAAGACGCGAGGCGTGCGGAGGCACGCGGACCAATTAATTAGCGATCATGAAGAATGGAGATAAATTGGGGGGAGACAGAGAGACAGAGAGAGAGAGGAGGGGAGATTGGAGTTGGGAGCTGTGCGGTGAAGACGTGGAGTTTCGGAAACAGAGTTTAGAAGAGAGTTGGAGCATAGTGATAGCGAAGCTGAAGCAAGATGAAGCAGTTAGCAGTGGAGTGAGCATAGTGATAGAGGAGCTGGAGATGGATCAGTTAGCAGTGGAGAGAGCGTAGTGATAGAGGAGCTGGAGACGGATCAGTTAGCAGTGGAGTGAGCGTAGTGATAGAGGAGCTGGAGATGGATCAGTTAGCAGTGGAGAGAGCATAGTGATAGAGGAGCTGGAGATGGATCAGTTAGCAGTGGAGTGAGCGTAGTGATAGAGGAGCTGGAGATGGATCAGTTAGCAGTGGAGAGAGCGTAGTGATAGAGGAGCTGGAGATGGATCAGTTAGCAGTGGAGAAGACGTAGTGATAGAGGAGCTGGAGATGGATCAGTTAGCAGTGGAGTGAGCGTAGTGATAGAGGAGCTGGAGATGGATCAGTTAGCAGTGGAGAGAGCCTAGTGATAGAGGAGCTGGAGATGGATCAGTTAGCAGTGGAGAGAGCGTAGTGATAGAGGAGCTGGAGATGGATCAGTTAGCAGTGGAGTGAGCATAGTGATAGAGGAGCTGGAGATGGATCAGTTAGCAGTGGAGTGAGCGTAGTGATAGAGGAGCTGGAGATGGATCAGTTAGCAGTGGAGAGAGCGTAGTGATAGAGGAGCTGGAGATGGATCAGTTAGCAGTGGAGAAGACGTAGTGATAGAGGAGCTGGAGATGGATCAGTTAGCAGTGGAGTGAGCGTAGTGATAGAGGAGCTGGAGATGGATCAGTTAGCAGTGGAGAGAGCCTAGTGATAGAGGAGCTGGAGATGGATCAGTTAGCAGTGGAGAGAGCGTAGTGATAGAGGAGCTGGAGATGGATCAGTTAGCAGTGGAGAGAGCGTAGTGATAGAGGAGCTGGAGATGGATCAGTTAGCAGTGGAGAGAGCGTAGTGATAGAGGAGCTGGAGATGGATCAGTTAGCAGTGGAGAGAGCCTAGTGATAGAGGAGCTGGAGAAGAGGCGTGCGGAGACAGAGAAGTGTGAGATTGGGTTTCGCTGTGTGCGACGACGCTGTATAGCGGAGGAGCTGAGGAGGACAGCCAGCAGTGGAGAGAGCGCAGGGATAGAGGAGCTGGAGATGGATCAGCCAGCAGTGGAGAGAGTGTAGGGATAGAGGAGCTGGAGATAGATCAGCCAGCAGTGGAGAGAGCGTAGTGATAGAGCAGCTGAGGAGGACAGCCAGCAGTGGAGAGAGCGTAGTGATAGAGCAGCTGAGGAGGACAGCCAGCAGTGGAGAGAGCGTAGTGATAGAGCAGCTGAGGAGGACAGCCAGCAGTGGAGAGAGCGTAGTGATAGAGGAGTTGAAGACGTGTGTGTGTGTGTGTGTGCGGAGCGACGTGACACTGTGAACCAAGGTGGTGGGCGAGAGGGGCGAAGCATGGTGAGCGAGCCGCGGTGTCCGGGATACGGTGGAGTTGCTGAGGACGTGTTCGACGATGAAAATGAAGACGTGGTTGAAGAGAGACAAACGTTGTCCGTGTAAAGTGCAACCACCACATATGGACTGCATGACCAACTTGAATTGATGGTAAAACATTGCCATTATGCGGCGAAAACAGCTTTAAGACTCGTCTTCCATGAATCAATGAACAGTCTCCACTCATCTGGATCATGAACGATGTTGAGGGCTGCCATAACACCATCGATGTTTTTTGCAGGCTACAAGATCACCTTCCCTGAAGACGAACGGGACAAGATCCTTTTGATGGTCACGGAACATGGCAACCCTAACATCACCTGCCAGGAGATTCCACCGTTGCAGTCTGGAGCCCAACAGCTCTGCCTCCTTACTCTTGGGTAGTTCCAAGTCCCTGGCAAAGGTCTTTCAGTTCACCTTGTGTTATGACGTGTGGCTCAGAGGAGGAGGATGATGATGGGAGAAAATATGGGTCATGTGACCTTGATGGTTCAGGACCAGAAGTTTCATCCTCTTCGTCTTCCTCGTCTGACTCAAGTGAGAATGATTCTGGTGCATCAGGAACCGGCAGTCCTTCTCTGTGGGGTACTGGGCATACAGCTGCTGAAATGTTTGGATAATGCACAGTCCACCTTTCATTCTTTGACACACCTTTCCCAACTGGAGGCGCCATGCAGAAGTAACAATTCCCGATATGATCTGTTGGCTCTTTCCAAATCATTGGCACTGCAAAAGGCATAGATTTCCTTTTCCTGTTCAACCACTGGCGAAGATTTGTTGTTGCACAAGTGCTGCAGCGTATGTGTGGGGCCCACGTTTTTTCCCGATCTCCAATTTTGCAGCCAAAATAAAGATGATGGGCTTTCTTAAGCATAGTTGTTATGCTGCACTTTTCTGATGCAAAAGTCACTTCACCACAAACTTAGCGGAAGTCATCCGCTTTGTTCACACAAGCGCGAGGCATCTCTGCTCACTTTGGCTAAACAGAAGTGTGTCCCGTTGCAAAATTAAACACTTACAAATAAGAGAGCACGCCACTGCATGATTTCTAGAGCTGATATAGGGCAACATGTTCAGCGGAGGGATGCAAGCCAAGTTATAATTGCATCATCCATGACTTCTAGGAATAACATGATGCAATTCATATCATGTATGATGCAATACAAGAGGTTCAGATTGCATCATTAATTGTTTTGCTCAAAGAGCAAGTACTGTCCAAACCCAGTCATAGATTTAATTCATAGATCCCTTCCCTTTATAACGCACTTATCCTCCGCCATTCCCAAGTCAAGGGTAGTATATGTTGTGACTGGGAATGCCACTGCGTGGTGCCGGCCATGCGAGATGTTTACTGTTGTGTGGACACGCCGGACACGGGGTGTAGCACCAGCCCTAGTGGGGGCTTGGGTGACCGCTGGTTCTAGCGCGATGGCACCACGCACAGCATGCGGTGGTGGGCTCCCGTTGAGAGAGCGTCAGCCAGCTGGGGGTTACGTTGGGGGCACGATGCTCTGGCTGACCTGGGGACACGTGACCGGATGATACTGGAGGGGGGGGGGGCCACCGGTGAAGGGGACCAACGGGTGGTCACGTGGTCCGGGATAAACTCTCGAGAGCCTTCGGGCAAGGGCGAGAGAGTTCGAGAAGGTGGGCGGGGCGAGAGGCGGAGCCAGCCCCAGCCCGGCCCGATATGAGGGGTTCCCTGAAAGAACGCTCGGGGTTCTTACTGTTGGAGAGGCGGGAGATCCACGTCAAGCTTGAAGAAGCCTTCAGCCACGCAGTCCGGGACCCAGCTTGTGGTTCGGACCGGGATAGTGGAACCGTGTCTAGTTCCGCCGTAGCGTGGCTAGTTGGGTGGTCACCACCCGAGAGTCTGTTGTGTTAATAACCTGGAGTGTGTTGTGTTTTGTTCACGAGGCTGAGTGACTGATTGATTGAGTGGGTGGGTGAGTGAGTGGATGGTTGGGTGGGAGAGCGAATGGGTGAGTGGGTGAGAGAGTGGATGATTAAGAGATTGAGTGAGTGAGTGAGTGAATGGGTGAGTGAGTGACTGATTGAGTGGGTGGGTGAGTGAGTGGATGAGTGGATGAGTGGGTGGGAGAGTGGATAATTAAGCGATTGAGTGAGTGGTGGGTGAGTGGATGGGTGAGTGGATGGGTGAGCGAGTGGGTGAGTGAGTGGTGGGTGAGTGGGTGGGTGGATTAGTGGGTGAGTGAGTGAACAAGCGGTGAGGGGTGGTGAGTAGGTGGTGAGCAAGTCTACCTGTATGAATGTGAGGCAGGCCTTCTGCAGGAGGCATTCAGCAAAGCAAATCTCAGCATGGAGCTCCTCTGTGGGACAAAAATCATGGGTGAGCAGTGGTGAGTAGTGGTGAGTGGTGGGTGGTGAGTAATGAGTGGGTGGTGGGTAGTGAGTGAGTGAGTGGAGAGTAGGTGGTGAGTAGTCGTGAATAGTGGTGAGTAATGGGTGAGTGAGTGGAGATTGGGTGGTGAGTAGTGGTGAGTGGGTGGTGAGGAGTGAGTGAGTGGAGAGTGGGTGGTGTGTAGTGGTGAGTGGGTGGTGAGGAGTGAGAGAGTGGTGAGTAGTGGTGAGTAATGGGTGAGTGAGTGGAGAGTGGGTGGTATCTCCGTGTCCCCATGTCTCTGCATCCCCGTGTCTTTGTAACCCTGTGTCTCTGGAGCCCTGTGTCTCCATGTCTCCGTGTCCCTGTGTCTCTGTAACATTATGTCCCTGTAACCTCGTGTTCCCGTGTCCCCATCTCAGAGTGTCTCCCACCCTCTGTGAGCTGCTCGTCTGTCCGGGAGACGAGGCTGGAGATGGAGTCAACGACGGAGCTCTTTCTGCGGAACCTGAGACGGGAAGAGGAACCAGCCAACTCGGGGAGACTCGGGGAGACTCAGGGAGACATGGGAAGATGCGGGGAGACACGTAAAGACGCAGGGAGACTCGGGGAGAGGTGGGGAGACGCGGGGAGACGCGGGGAGACGCGGGGAGATGCGGGGAGACTCGGGGAGACTTTGAGAGACGTCAGGAGACTTGGGGAGACACGGAGACGTGGGGAAGATTCAGAGAGACGCGGGGAGATGCGGAGAGACTCGGGGAGACTCGGGGAGATGCGGGGAGACTCGGGGAGATGCGGGGAGACTCGGGGAGACGCGGGGAGACGCGGGGAGACGCAGAGAGACTCGGGGAGACTCGGGGAGATGCGGGGAGACTCGGGGAGATGCGGGGAGACTCGGGGAGACGCGGGGAGACGCGGGGAGACTCGGGGAGACTCGGGGAGATGCGGGGAGACTCGGGGAGATGCGGGGAGACGCGGGGAGACGCGGGGAGACGCGGAGAGACTCGGGGAGACTCGGGGAGATGCGGGGAGACTCTGGGAGATGCGGGGAGACTCGGGGAGATGCGGGGAGACTCGGGGAGACTCGGGGAGACGCGGGGAGTTTCGGGGAGACGCGGGGAGACGCGGGGAGACTCTGACCTTGCACACACATCCAGTGCTTGCTTCAGGGCCCGGTTGGCAGAATCCATGTTGACTGGGTCAAACGTCAACATGGCCTGCATGTTGGTGATGGTGCCAAAGACCAGGGCATGGTACATACTGGTGGAGACACTGAGACACACGGGGACACACACAGGCCAGTTTAAGCCGATGGACAGTGCTGAGTCTATGGGTAGTGTTGAGTCTACGGGCAGTTCTAGATTTAAAGCTTTCGTGACTGCAAGGATCCATACTCTTTGGTTCTATTCGGTAAAGTCACGTAGGTAAAAAAAAACAACAACAAAAAATCACGACGTGTTTCACTCCAGCGCTGTCCTCGAGACAGTCTGGTCCCTTCACCTGATGAAGGCCGCTTGTGTTGTGGCCGAAACGTCGCGATTTTTGTTGTTTTATTTTTTACCTACGTGACTTTACCGAATAGAACCAAAGAGTATGGATCTACGGGCAGTGTTGAGTCTATGGGCAGTGTTGAGTCTATGGGCAGTGTTGAGTCTATGGGCAGTGTTGAGTCTATGGGCAGTGTTTAGTCTATGGGCAGTGTTGAGTCTATGGGGCAGTGTTGAGTCTATGGGCAGTGCTGAGTCTATGGCAGTGTTGAGTCTATGGGTAGTGTTGAGTCTATGGGCAGTGTTGAGTTTAAGGGCAGTGTTGAGTCTATGGGCAGTGTTGAGTCTATGGGCAGTGTTGAGTCTATGGGCAGTGTTGAGTCTATGGGCAGTGCTGAGTCTATGGGCAGTGTTGAGTCTATGGGCAGTGTTGAGTTTAAGGGCAGTGTTGAGTCTATGGGCAGTGTTGAGTCTATGGGCAGTGTTGAGTCTATTGTGTAGTGTTGAGTCTATGGGCGGTGCTGAGTCTATGAGCAGTGTTGAGTCTATGGGCAGTGCTGAGTCTATGGGCAGTGTTGAGTTTATGGGCAGTGTTGAGTCTATGGGCAGTGCTGAGTCTATGGGGAGTGTTGAGTCTATGGGCAGTGTTTATTCTACGGGCAGTGTTGAGTCTATGGGGCAGTGTTGAGTCGATGGGCAGTGCTGAGTCTATGGCAGTGTTGAGACTATGGGGAGTGTTGAGTCTATGGGCAGTGTTGAGTCTATGGGTGTGTGGTGTTGAGTCTCTTGTGTAGTATTGAGTCTATGGGCGGTGCTGAGTCTATGGGCAGTGCTGGGTTTATGGTCAGTGTTGAGTTTATGGGCAGAGCTGAGTCTATGGGCAGTGTTGAGTTAATGGGCAGTGTTGAGTCTATGGGCAGTGTTGAGTCTATGGGCAGTGTTGAGCCTATGGGCAGTGTTGAGTTTATGGGTAGTGTTGAGTCTATGGGCAGTGCTGAGTCTATGGGCAGTGTTGAGTTTATGGGCAGTGTTGAGTCTATGGGCAGTGTTGAGTCTATGGGCAGTGTTGAGTTAATGGGCAGTGTTGAGTCTATGGGCAGTGTTGAGTCTATGGGCAGTGTTGAGCCTATGGGCAGTGTTGAGTTTATGGGCAGTGTTGAGTCTATGGGCAGTGTTGAGTCTATGGGCAGTGTTGAGTTCATGGGTAGTGTTGAGTCTATGGGCAGTGTTGAGTCTATGGGCAGTGTTGAGTCTATGGGCAGTGTTGAGTTCATGGGTAGTGTTGAGTCTATGGGCAGTGTTGAGTCTATGGGCAGTGTTGAGTCTATGGGCAGTGTTGAGTTTAAGGGCAGTGTTGAGTCTATGGGCAGTGTTGAGTCTATGGGCAGTGTTGAGTCTATGGGCAGTGTTGAGTCTATGGGCAGTGCTGAGTCTATGGGCAGTGTTGAGTCTATGGGCAGTGTTGAGTCTATTGTGTAGTGTTGAGTCTATGGGCGGTGCTGAGTCTATGAGCAGTGTTGAGTCTATGGGCAGTGCTGAGTCTATGGGCAGTGTTGAGTTTATGGGCAGTGTTGAGTCTATGGGGAGTGTTGAATCTATGGGCAGTGCTGAGTCTATGGGCAGTGCTGAGTCTATGGGCAGTGCTGAGTCTATGGGGAGTGTTGAGTCTATGGCAGTGTTTATTCTACGGGCAGTGTTGAGTCTATGGGGCAGTGTTGAGTCGATGGGCAGTGCTGAGTCTATGGCAGTGTTGAGACTATGGGGAGTGTTGAGTCTATGGGCGGTGTTGAGTCTATGGGTGTGTGGTGTTGAGTCTCTTGTGTAGTATTGAGTCTATGGGCGGTGCTGAGTCTATGGGCAGTGCTGGGTTTATGGTCAGTGTTGAGTTTATGGGCAGAGCTGAGTCTATGGGCAGTGTTGAATTAATGGGCAGTGTTGAGTCTATGGGCAGTGTTGAGTCTATGGGCAGTGTTGAGCCTATGGGCAGTGTTGAGTTTACGGGTAGTGTTGAGTCTATGGGCAGTGCTGAGTCTATGGGCAGTGTTGAGTTTATGGGCAGTGTTGAGTCTATGGGCAGTGCTGAGTCTATGGGCAGTGTTGAGTTTATGGACAGTGCTGAGTCTATGGGCAATGTTGAGTTAATGGGCAGTGTTGAGTCTATGGGCAGTGTTGAGTCTATGGGCAGTGTTGAGCCTATGGGCAGTGTTGAGTTTACGAGTAGTGTTGAGTCTATGGGCAGTGCTGAGTCTATGGGCAGTGTTGAGTCTATGGGCAGTGCTGAATCTATGGGCAGTGTTGAGTTTATGGGCAGTGTTGAGTCTATGGGCAGTGTTGAGTTTATGGGCAGTGTTGAGTCTATGGGCAGTGCTGAATCTATGGGCAGTGTTGAGTTTATGGGCAGTGTTGAGTCTATGGGCGGTGCTGAGTCTATGGGCAGTGTTGAGTCTATGGGCAGTGTTGAGTCTATGGGCAGTGTTGAGTCTATGGGCAATGCTGAGTCTATGGGCAGTGCTGAGTCTATGGGGAGTGTTGAGTCTTTGGGCAGTTTCGATTTAAAGCTTTCGTGACTGCAATGATTCATCTTCTTTGGTTATTTCGGTAAAGTCACGTAGAATGAGAATAAAATAATAAATTGATAAAATAAAATAACACAATAATATTCTCACGACGTTTCGGCCACAACACAAGCGGCCTTCATCAGGTGAAGGGAGCGAGACTGTCTGGTAGGACAGCGCTGGAGTGAGAGAGCCACGTTCAGATCACGGCTTTTAAGCTGTGTGAGAGGAACAAAGAGCCTTGACGAAGGAATTAGCATAAAATTTAGCATTGAAAAGGCTGAATGATTAGCTTGTGACTGGTCACAGAAATAGCTATGTTAAAAGTTAAAGCATACACATCCGCAGAGGCACCCATTGTTAAAAGGAATTAGCATAGAATTTAGCATTGAAATAGCTAAATTAAGGCATTCGCTTGTAACTGCTACAGAAATAGTTACGTTGAAGTCAGAGCATACACATTCACCGAGGCACTTAGTACAAATCAAAACAGGAGAATTTAGCATTGAAATAACTAGGCGAATTTAGCATTGAAATAACTGGGTGATTTGCTGGTGACTGGTCACAGAAATGTCTACACATCTGAGCTATTCACAGTACTATATAGTGAACCAATAAAAACTAAAATATAAATTACCTTCATGTTATCAATAAACTCTATATTCTCCAATCAGCTAAGCTACCAACCATAAGTCGTTATATATCACAATGCTATATGGCGAAAAAATGGGTAGATTCTTACCCTCAAATTTCCGTACCACGGATAGCTACGGGCCCCGTTCAGACGGACGAGTTCGTCCATGGTCGGAACAGAGGAGGGGGAGAGAGACAGCTGCGAGGCCCTAGTATACTCCATGTTGTAAACCATACCATTAACCGTGGTGTGAGAGGTATTAAGAGGCAATGCTGGCGAAAGAGCTGCGGTCTGAAGGTCATCGTAAAATTACAATTAATTAAGAACAGAAATGATTTAACACATCTTTCCAGTGGTTACTAAGCCTGAATCCATCTTCTCGGTTGAAATTGTCTCTGTGCTTGTATATGTGAATGGCCTCATGAACGAATCTCTCATGGTAGCCAGTTGGTTTGCAAAGAACCTCCGTCTTGGAGAAGTCAATGTCATGTGAGCCCACTGAATTGTAACAGTGATCTGCCACGGCCGAGGAGTTCGTCTTACCGTGTTTCAAGTCTGCTTTATGTTCGCGGATGCGGTCCGAGATATGTCTTTTGGTTTCTCCAATGTAGCTACTACCACAGAGGCACTTTAGTTTGTAAATGCCCGGGTACTGTATGTCTGGAAGAGCATCTTTTACAGATGGAACTAAATCACGGATTTTGTGTACTGTGTTGAATCGGACCTGGATCTTGTGTTTATTCAGGATTTTGGAGATCTTTTTAGTGACCCCTGCAATGTAGGGTAAGGTGATGGTTTTGAGTGGCTCCACAAGAGGATCCTTCTTCATGACTGGAGTGATGGCTTTGCGGATTGTGTAGTCGGAGTAGCCATTAGCCCTGAGAGCCTGGTGTACGTGCTTGAGTTCACTGGTAATGTGTTCCTGGTCGGAAATGCATTGGGCTCTATGGTATAGAGTCTTGATGAGGCAGTTCTTCTGGGATGGATGGTGGTGGGAATCCGGTTTCAAGTAAGCATCTGTATGGGTAGCTTTCCTGTAGACATAGTGGCTCATTGAACCATCATGTCTCCTTTTAATTAAGACATCCAGAAAGGGTAGTTTGCCATCTTTTTCGACCTCCATGGTAAATCTGATGGCTGGGTGTATGGAATTGATGTGGTCGCGGAATTGGTCTAGAGCAGGCTGGCCATGTGGCCAGATGATTGGGCAGTGTTGAGTCTATGGGCAGTGTTGAGTCTATGGGCAGTGTTGATTCTATTGTGTAGTGTTGAGTCTATGGGCAGTGCTGAGTCTATGAGCAGTGTTGAGTCTATGGGCAGTGTTGATTCTATTGTGTAGTGTTGAGTCTATGGGCAGTGCTGAGTCTATGGGCAGTGTTGAGTCTATGGGCAGTGTTGATTCTATTGTGTAGTGTTGAATCTATGGGCAGTGCTGAGTCTATGGGCAGTGCTGAGTCTATGGGCAGTGCTGAGTCTATGGGGAGTGTTGAGTCTAAGGGCAGTGTTGAGTCTATGGGCAGTGTTGATTCTATTGTGTAGTATTGAGTCTATGGGCAGTGCTGAGTCTATGGGCAGTGCTGAGTCTATGGGGAGTGT